AGGGGCCACCCCTCCGAAGAGTAGCTCCTCTCCCTTCCAGTTCAAGGTCTCCTCCCCCTCTCCCTCTTGTAAATAAAAAGATACAGGTTTTTCTGTTGAAAACCAAACTGTTGTTTTTTATTGGGAGGTAAGGGGAGGGGAGGAGGAAGGGTAGGGGATGGGAGGGAGTTGTATGGGGAGACCGAGGCGACCCTACTATGGGGCCTGTGCGAACATGCCTGTCAGGGCCTCTCTGATGCGCACCCCATCCTGGCGCGCCTGGCGGATGGCAGCTGTGTGGGGCTGTTTGAATGTCTGTGCCTCGGCTGCCAACCATGCAGGGAGAAAAGCCTCCCCACTGCGCTCCACAATGTTGTGGAGCATGCAGCATGCGGCCAGTACCTCCGTTGCATTCCATCTCGAGACGGGTGAGCAAACACCGGAAGCGGGCTTTCAAGCGTCCGAAGGCGAACTCCACCTGATTTCGGGCCCGGTTGAGGCGGTCATTGAACCGGGCCCGGTTCTGGTCCAGCCGCCCCGTGTAGGGCTGTATTAGCCAGGGCAGCAGGGGGTAGGCCGCGTCCCCGATGATACAGATGGGCATAGGCATATCCCCGACAGTAAACTTCCTCCGGGGGAAGTAGGTGCCCGCCTCCGGCCTGCGAAACAGTCCGGAGTTGTGGAGGATGCGAGCGTAATGTGCCCTGCCAGACCAGCCCGCATAGACGTCCAGAAAGCGTCTCCGGTGGTCCACGAGGGCCTGGAGAACAATCGAGCAGTACCCCTTCCTGTTTGTGAAATGGGCTGCTCGATGCTCTAGGGCCCGGACGGGGATGTGGGTTGCATCCAGGGCTCCCCCGCAGTTGGGGAACCCAAGGGCAGCGAAGCTGGCCAGCGTAGCGTCCATGTCGCGCAGGCGGATCACTCTCGGTAGCAGGACATCATTGATGGCGTGGACGACCTGCAGAAGGGTGCAGAGAAACACAGGGGAACACATCACACAAGGCAGGGGTGAGTGTGCGCTCCCTTGGGCCCCCCCGTGATTCCCTCTGTCCTCACGCGTGCACACACACGCACACGCACACACACACACACACACACACACACACACCAGGGCCCTCTCGCCCCACGGCCCGCCTCCTCCCCCCCACCAGCATGCCTGTGCAAGGGAGGGATGGCACAAACCCCTGGGTGACCCAGCCTGGAGTCTTGGCTGCCCCTGGGCATGGAGTGCAACACCCTCCCCACACCCCACACTCCCTGGGACTTACCTCCATCACGATGACACCGACGGTGGAACTTCCCACCCCAAATTGCTGTGCCACTGAGCGGTAGCTGTCCGGGGTGGCCTGACACCGATGATGGATCTGCCCACCCCGAACTGGTGTGCCACCGATCGGTAGCTGTCCGGGGCGGCCAGCTTCCACAGGGCGATGGTTCTCTGGAGCGTGGGGGCGAGCCAGGCACACAGCTCTAGGAACATCCGCTTTCGCATGCGGAAGTTCCGGAGCCATTGCTGGTCGCCCCATTGCCCCAGGACCAGCCGGTCCCACCAGTCGGTGCTGGTGTCCAGTCCCCACAGTGGCCTCTCCATGGTGAGGTGGGGATGCCATAGGGACACCATGGCCTCCGTGGTGAGGGAGTCCAAAGTGATCGGCGCCTCCAGGTCCTGGAATAGGAGGGCACCAGCCTGGAGCACCAGCTGCAGGCACTCCAAAATGGCCGGCAGGGGCCAGAGCAGGCACATGGCCATCCCTGGCTCCATGACAGACAAAACAAGGCAAAAGAAAAAAAAACAGGCAAAAGCACTAGGTGGCAAAAGGCAGTGGTGTCCAAAAGGCAGAGGGCAACTACCAAAACTGCTACGGCAGTCAGTCCCTACAAGAGGTCCTAAAGCATGGAGCAGGAGACAAACGGCTGTCCAGGGAGATCCCTTTAAGCATGTGTCTCAAAGGAGCTCCAGCCCCTGCCCCCAGAAAGGGCTGGTGTCCTTTTGCCCTCTGCAAAATTGTTCCGGGCTTCTGCTTTTGCGCAAAAGCATCTCACCAATGTAGACACACTTTTGCGCAAAAGCGCATCGTTATTACGATAACTCCGTGTCAGTCTAACTCTTTTGTGCACATACTTTTAATGGAAAAACTTTTCCGTTAAAAGTATTTCTGCCAGTCATGCCAGTCTAGACGTAGCCCATATGTTTTATCAGTATCAGTACCCATGTTTCACAACCATGAAGTAATGTGCGTTCAATGAGCATTATGCATAATAAGTTGTAGCTGTCATGATGAGTTCTAAACATTTTTATTCAGGCATGCAAACATTCTCCTGGCAGTGGCTATCTGCTTGTCAATGTCTTCTTCAGATTCTTCATAGTGGTTGTCATGTGTTGTGATGAAACACAAGTAGCAGAAACTCTCTACTTGTTTAATAGCTACATTGTTAGGGTATGTCTAGACTACATGGCTCCGTCAATACCCTTAATGATGAGTTTAACTCGTTTTTTGATTATTTTATGTTGCCATTCACTTGGTCTTGTGTTCATTCAATCTTAATCCTCATTCTGTAGCTATTGTATATAGGTTAGTTCCAGTTTCTTGGTTATATTCCTCCATAGACATTACCATTATTTTATTTGCAAAGTCAAGATGATTGATCATTTGCCCTGATACTCTGTGGTCTCCACCAATGTCGTTAAAGGAATTGGACAAGACATTTTCTAAGTATAGACCCAAAAATATTGTACTGAATATGTATACCTGTTCATCTCCAGTTTTCACTTTGAACCACTTAGTCAGCTCATAGCCATCAGTGCTGCTGATTAGTATTGTATGCCTTCATAAAATCATAGTTAGAAAAATCAGAACGTTTTGTAATTGCCAGCATCTGGCAATATATATTTGACAATAAGATAATTTGAAGCATATGCACCTGGGCTAATCTCTTGCAAGTTTCTACAAATAACATGTATGTACGAATGTAAACGTTGCAAGTGTAAATTGGGTACCTGTGCAGCTACCTACCTCATTTGTGTATGTACAAGCTAGATGTTGTTCCCTCCTTGCTAATGTAGGAATGTAGAACCTGAACAGTTGCAGAACTACTGCGATTCTGCCGCTTAGTGTAGGTACATTGGAGAGATAATAAAATAGGGTCCACATCGAAGCACCATGGAAATGTATTTCTCATCCTGGGACTGCATCTATAGTAGCATGGCTCCTTGGGGGTGGGACTGAGACAATTAAAGTTTTACTGGCTATAGATGAGTTTTCTTCTGGTATACTGCACACTTAATTGTTGAAGCAAAAACCTCACTCAGTTTACGCGGCTAAACAGACAGCTTTATTCATCAGTAAAGCCACGTGAGCCAAACGTGGTCCCAGCAGAGCCAGCCCCAGTAAGGCTGGCTAATACAATCAATCCTAGTATCTTTATATCCTTAGCCAAACAGTCTGACGTCAGGGCATCCAATTATAGAAATCATCAATTAAACTTGGAAAAACAAAGCCTTATCAACAAGATGGTGGACAGGTACGAGGGAGTACATCTCCTATCTCAACCAGCCCAATTAACACATACCAATAGCCCATCCTGTAGGCCTCTTCTCATGGGGTCACAGAAAGTTCACTCTGGTCTGTGCGCCAAAGAGAAAAGCTGAAATTGTTTCTGTTATACAAGATGGCTTCCAGCTAAATATGAAATAGTTTCTACACTTAGTTGTGGAATTCCATCATTCTACCTCTGTAGAGGATCAGGAGCAAAGTCTGGTACAGTATCTAGACTTAGTGATAGAAGATTTCACCCTGCAGGTATATTTTTGTACACAAATTAGAGAGTGTGTGCAGAGCTGCATGCACATAATTAACATGCCATATAGGTGTCTACCTTTGAAAATATGGGCCTTGGAACTTTTGTACTCTGTTTTCCCCTAATACCTATGAGCTTTTGTACTGAAACCACCCCCTTCCTTCCCTCAATGGAAGAATGTATGGGAGTAACTTTGTAGCTCATGAAAGTTTGTTCCTTAACTGGATGAAGGTAGTTACTTTTGAGAATAATGAGGCAAATGCCACGTGTTCAATCAGATATAGTTCTCTCAAATAATGAGTCTTGATGTCCGGTACATCAGAGATTAACCCTGCAGGAAAGTTTGTGATTCCAAATTCCTATTTATGCTCTACAATTCCAGGATATTCAGTAGAAATTTTAAATTTGTATGTGCACTGGCAAATCCATTGTTCTCCCTTCACTCAGTCTGGGGCATATCAACCATCTCTCAAGGTAGATGTGACATTGGACACAACAGGATCACTAATGCTATAGCACAACTATAAACAAAAATATAGCAGTATGTTCAAACAAGTCTTGATAAATAGAAATCTAGCAGGTGGGTGCATTAGAAGAAATCTTGTCTCTGGAGATTAAAGATTCTCCACCATGGAAAACTGGGTGTAAGCCAATTTATCATACACACAGAGAAGTCAGTCTTGCCAGCAGGTGAGCTGTTCATACTTCTGTAGTTGTTAGCCACTATGGGTTAATGCATTTTCTGATTTATTTAGCTTAAAAGGAATCCATGACTCCTCTTACCCATACATTCTCCAAGTAGGTAATGCCCCGTGTATAGTTTGTGTAGATTTTTTCATGGAATTTGCCTATTAAGAATAAAATTTCCATCAAATACAAGCCCTTGGCATTCCAATTTTTTCTACGCAAGCTTTGGGCCTCACTGTACTGTAAAATTTTACTGTTTTAAAAACTTGCAGCATTTGTTCCAATGGAGGCTGTTGCTGAGATTAAAGACTATTTTCTTTTTGGTTTTGTAAAGTAGGCTAAGTTAATGTTATGGAGCATTTTAGGTTGTGTGGTTTTTTTTTTAAACTCAGAGTAGAAATGTATGAGAAGAATGCTGTAGTTCTTAAAATCTGTTATAGTTTCAAACAAATGAGATGACATAATGAAGGCAACCAGCTGATGTAATGCTCTAGGATGCTTGTACAGAAACTGATGATCTAATCTCCTTTTAGGTTTTACAGATCTGCCCTAAGGATATGCGAGCAGACATCTGTGTGCATCTAAACCGCAAAGTTTTCAAGGAGCACCCAGCGTTCAGACTGGCTAGTGATGGATGCCTTCGAGCCCTAGCCATGGAATTTCAAACTGTGCATTGTGCCCCTGGGGATCTGATCTACCATGCTGGCGAGAGTGTGGACAGCCTTTGCTTTGTGGTTTCAGGGTCTTTGGAAGTGATCCAGGATGATGAAGTTGTTGCTATTTTGGGTACGTCTCATGCTTTATAGTATCTGCATAGCTAATCTAATGCTAACTTTCTGCATTTCTATAGCACTTTCCATTAGAGTCTTAACATACTTTCAAATAATTTAATTTAGCCTCACAGTATCCTGAAGAGGTATCTGCGTATTACCATCCCCCTTTAACAGAGGTAGAGAAGAGATTGTGACTTGTTCGAGGGCACATGGGAACTTGGTGCACACAACCAGAAGAGCACCCTTTCTTCCTCATGCAAGTCTGTAACAGTGCATCCACATCACCTGTGATTGTTTTACAATATGCTCAGCAGTGTCCTAACTCTGTCCCATTGAAGTCTTTGGGAGTTTTAATCCCACCTTCACTGCAGGCAGGGCGAGGTCCCTGCTGAGTGCTTTTATCTCAGTAATAAAATAAATATTTTAAAACTAAAAATAATTCTTATGAGATGACTCAGGAGAAGGTTTACAGACAATGCTGTAACACTTAACCAGGTATGTGTTACAGCAAGCAAAGGCTAATGTTTATAATCCCTTTTCAAAACAATATTCTATCTCCTAAGGTCAAAATAATCTAAAAATGTAGAGGATTTGAACTAGAAATGGCACTCTAGATTGGAGGCATACAAAAAGGTTGCAGTGATGTGAACAACACTCTGAAGGAAAGCTAGGAGAATAGATGGCTAATCCAGTAGACATAGCTAAATCATGAGGTGGCTAGAGTATTGAGAACATGATTATGTCTGACCTTTTTGTGATAAGGTAGAACTTCGCAGTGGCTTAAACTCAGAATCTGTCACTCATACCAGTCTTAACAAACAGACAAAAACCTCACCAATCTTAAACCTTAATCTTTCAGAACAAATATGCCAAACTTTTCTATGAGAAATTTCTATGGGCAAAATAAGGCTGTTCTCCTGGCCTCAGTTCACCACTCTGCCTGAGTTTTAGTAGTGTGATTAGCTTACCAGTCTAGAGAACTTTGCTTGGAATGTTTTGCAAGCGTTTTTGCATTACAGCCTTCGCTAAGAGCCTCTTGGCTTTTAGCTCATGCAGTAGAGGCATCTCGCGTTAGCCCCTAAGGTTCCAGCTTCAGTCCCACCTGACAACGACCAGGGTTCATTGCCTTTACACTTGCACTGGGAAGAAATCTTGAGAGGTCATCAAGTCCAGTCTCCAGCACTTAATGCAGGACCTGCATAAATTGAAGAGTTATATTCCTTGTGCATATTCTAAATACAAATATACATTCTAAACTGTAAAAGACCCATTCCTGTGAAAACTTACCCCCTTTTTTATTTTACACATGCAGTGTAGTGGGTTGGAAGTCAACGCAGAACAGTTTAAACATTGGGGCCTCCTGCTTTTCACTATGGTTGAGTGACTTATGAAGTCATTAAGAATGCTGCTAGAGTTGAATGAATAACACACAAAGTTTTCCCTAATCATTGAAACTTAAATCCAAATGTGCCTCAGTTATTGTTTGCTCCCCTTATGCAGTCACTTTCCATGACCATTCATGCCATGCATACAGTCAGCGATAGCATTCACTGAGGGGGGAGGACTTATTCTGAATTGCATGAGAAACATGATTGTTGATGTATTGTTCAGCCAAGAAGCAGACTTGATTTATATTACCAATCATAACTGAACTACATAGCTTGAATTGTATATGTTAGTGGTTCCCAATCTTTTTGATACTGGGGACCAGTAAACCCATTCACAAGCTTTTGGAGGACTGGTAACATTTATTTGCATATTTGAATATTAATTAATCAAATGATGAATATGCAAATACATTGTTTCTGGTCCTCCCGAAGCCTCCAGTGCTAAATTTAGCAAAGCTTTGGATACAGTCTCCCACAGTATTCTTGCCAGTAAGTTAAGGAAGTATGGATTGGATAAATGGAGTGGAAGATGAATAGAAAGCTGGCTAGACTGTTGGGCCCAGGGTTTCCCAGACTTTATATTGTTGGAACCTGTTTTTTTTCAGTACCTTTTTTTGTGGCCCAAAAATATAAACGCATATAAACTGGGTTGAGACAGAAGGTGTGGGTTCTGGGGTGTGAATGAGGGATTTAGGTGTAGGAAAGAGAGAGAGTGCAAGCTCTGGGAGGGAATTGGGTGCAGGAGGGAGGTGGAGAAGGGGATGCTGGCTCAGGGAGGGGGTTCCAGGCTGGGGAGTGTTGGGCTCAGGTGGAGGGTTGGGGTGCTGAGCAAGCTGCAGGTTTGTGGATGTGAGGGTGCAAGAGTTTGGGGATGTGAGAGGCTCGGGACAGGGGGTTCCAGTGTATGATAGGCTCAGATTTGGAGTTGAGGTGGGGAGTACAGGAGTGTTATGATGTGGTGGCCAGATGACAACTTGGCCCCAATTGGGGGTTTGCTGGCCAGGCTTCATTTTTAAATAAAATATTGTCAAACAAAACATAAATATCGTCTTTATTTATGAGAGGGGCGGGGAACCTGTTTTGAGTCAGGGGTCACTGACCCACGGAAAAGTCAGTCGGGGCCACGTAAGTGAGATACAAAAACACAACCCCTCCAAACCCCTCAAACCTCACTAATGTGACCCCAACTGTGCTTGTGGGTGCTGGGAAAGGGTTCTGGGGCAGGGTGCCAATGGGTGCTGGGTCAGGAGACAGGGTACTTGTGGGTGCTAGGGCAGAGGACAGGGTGCCGGTGGGTGCTGGGGCAGAGTACTTGTGGGGGTCTGGGTGGGGGGGGAGGGAAGGGGACAGGGACTGATACCTGGGGATCCTGCAGCTGCACACCAAGGCCCAGGAAGTGCGTGGGCTGCTCCCCCATCCCCCAAACAGTAGCACGGTACCTGAAACGCTGGTCTGTCGCATGCCTGATGCCTTCCTGTGCGGGGGGAGGGTAGTCCCAGACCACATCAGCCCCAACCCTGCTGGGGCAGTGTGCACCTTGCTCCTCCGCTTCACACAACAGTGCGCACCACCTGAGTAGCCGGAGCCGGCACAATCCTGGATCCCCACCCCCTCCACAGCGCCCAATGGACTGGTGTTTTAGGTACCACACTAGCTGTTGGGGCAGGGGGGAGAGCAGTCAGCTACCCTGGAGGTAGCATCAGCGCAGCCACAACCCACCTCCTGGCTCCAATCCTGTCCGCTTTATTGGCCGGCTTTGGCTCCCGGTCTGTGTCAGTGCACCCGGCCTTCTCCCTGGGTCCTAGTGCCCGCCGAATCTAGCCCTGCCGCCCGGAAGCATGCCTGGCAGAGACGCCGCAGGCAGCGGGCTCTCTCCCAAGAATTGTGCATGCAAATTTTTCTGAGGACCGGTATTTTTTTTTCTGAGGATCGGTACTGGGCCGCAGACCACACTTTGGGAAATGCTGGTATTTGTCAAGTATCAAACAAGAATCCATAGAATACATGAAATTTGTGAAAAACTATTTAGAATAATTTTGACTAACGAACACATTGGGGGAAATTAAAATCTCCTCACAGTTATTCCAGGAACAAAAAAAGGTAAATTAATAAAACAAGCTTTCAGTTAGGAATACATGCTGTGTCTTCCTTAGCAATAGAGACCTAAGTCTCATTTCTAAATTACTCTGTGTGAATCTTATACAGTATTATCTAAAATTAAGGCAATCCATTCTTCATCTTGAACCAATTTATAGCTAGCATTTTCTAGTACTAATATTATTTACCCTTAAAGGACAGCATACTAAATGTGTGCTGCAGATCCCTGGTGCTTGGAATCCTCTGTGTACTCTTGCATAATATCACTGTAAATCAAATCTATCTACTATCCAAATGGAAAGTGTGGTTTCAGTTCAAACTCATCTTCTCAGAATAAAGTGATTGACTTTGACTTCAAAATGAATTGATGCAAAAACAGGTGTAAGAGAAAATTACATACAAGGCAGAAGAGAAGAATCAGACATTTTCTGTGGCTATCTAATTAATGCACATTCCTTGGTAATTAGAAGGGGAGGGAAAGGCAGATAAAGAACATTAGTTTTAAGAATTTAATTTCTTTGCAACATTTGCTGTAAATTGTCAGACAGTCTAAGTATTTTACTGGATGCTCATTTTTGTTGCTGTTTGATTTCTGTATTTTAATTCTGTAGAAACTTTAGTAGCATTCATATAACACAATAATTGTGTGACGCTTCACAGAAATACAGGACAAAATTCCCTGGAACAAGGAGCTTACTGTAAACTCACGTGTTGCTGTTTTTGATCGATGGGGAAGCTAGGGAAAGGAGAGAGAATGCTGCTGTTTTGTATAAAGGCTATTTTGTATTCTTAAGGGTTTTTACTGTTTTGTTTTGTTTTTAAAGAGCAGCCATGAGACCAGGAGTATGTACATAAGGTAAGAATGGAAATGAGTTTTAGGGAAGCTACCTGTCGTTCAGTCAAGTTTCGTTCTCTGTCAGGATTTGGAATTGTCCCGATGGGTTCCTGACAGGTCCTTTACTCTGTCAGTTATGATAAATTTTCAGCTGCGTGTGTGTGTGCTCCCCTGTCTAATGCCCCTGTGCACTTGAGTCAACACGATAGACTTCCAGAGAGCCACCAGAGACCACAGATCAGATAAGGATTGAAATCACCCAAACAGGTTTATTGCCAATCGGCATATACTAATAGTTGTCAGCAAACAGACTCGCCGCTGTGCCGCTTTACTTTGTGCAAGCTGTGGCAATGTGCTAATACCCATTAAGTGCCATAGCATCCTCGCCCCATGGTCAGCCGGCAATCCCTTTTGGGATGCACTTTTATAGTCACTTACAAACAAATTACATTACTTCTGATGTACCAGGTTTCCAGTTGTTTATAACTTTGCTAAACTTTAACCATTTGGGCTGAAATTTTCAGTGCTGAGTGTTTGCCTCAGGCTGAATTTCGTTGGAATTGTTTGGCAAAAATGGTTCAGCTTTTTATCAGAACAGGGTTAGAAACACTTACATTGTTTTGCCCATGTAATGCATTTACAAATTGAGGAGCTATGGAGTGGGGGGACTTGAAAAATGGCAGAGGGCTGGCT